CATAGAGACTTAAAACCTGAAAACGTTTTGGTCTCCAACCAGCACTATTGCCAGAAAGACAAAGATACGTTTGCGCGCATCTATGCTAATTGCCCAATGGTCTGCAAAGTCACAGATTTTGGTTTCAGTAGATCTTTAAATACGCAAACACAATCAATCCTGCAATCTCGGACTTAAATGGGCCTTAAATGTAGTTATTCATACCATTTTTTACTTCAATTTTGCAGAAAATTCCTTAATATTTACCACGTTCCGCAATTCCAGCATTCCATGGGCCCCTCTCTGCAAGTTGGGCCCCCCTTTTTACTATTATTATACACCCCAGTAGTTATGTAGGTTAATTGAGGTTAATATTTGAGTTATCAGGGTTGTTAATAGTATCAGAATATCGTAAACGTATGTAGCTTTTTTATGACATAACACACGCCCTTCGTGGAAATCATAGTTGAAGGGATTAGTGTGTATAATTTTATATAGTTTTACCAAGCTACATACCTACCTCGTAAAGAAAAAACTATTCTAAAACTTTTTTCCGCGTTTTACCTTCTTTTCCGCGTTGTACCCTCTTTTCCGCGTTTTACCCCCTTTTCCGCGTTTTACCCTCTTTTCCGCGTTTTACCCTTTTTCCGTTTCCGTTTTTCCGGTTCCGCCATTCCGGTTCCGTCGGTCCGTTCCGTTCCGTTTCCGCGTTTTACCCCTACCCACTAAAATCTGGACTAACTCACATTTGACAAGCAATACTATAATCCGCCTTGATTAACCATCCTAACAGGAGGGAGCCATGCACAACTAAAACTCGTACAAGGCGCTCATGCACGTGCAAGCGAGCACGATTACGATCACATTATAACGAATACAGTTATACCTCCAAATCGTCCGAGATTTGTTGCCGTTGTGGCGCTACTGGAGGATCTTGTAGACTTCGGCGTGATCAAGGCCTTGCGGAACAGCTGGTGACGCTGCTTGGACAAGATATTGCTCTTCCTCTGCCATAACTCTCAACGAAATTCGTCCAGTTCGGTCACCCAATTTTTGTCTTTCGGTTAGATTTGTGTCTCCTGACGGAATTCACGCTAAATGGTGCAATTTCTGTTAGGTGTGGTCAATTTATACATTGCCTGTATCACCTGATACCTAATCTACATATATATTGCATAATTATACCACATTTCCTTTTACACATGATTACGAGTATTGCGAATAGTCATACACCGACTAACCTATGCTTACCTAATAAAGGGTTTTAAAATGGGTATGCTTAACATAGCTAGCTTACCTAAACATATTGAAGAAATTAGAGTAATATTAACTGAAAAATGTCTCGATATTCTCGCACTAAATGAGACAAGACTAGATAATAATATTACCAATCCGGATATGTTATTCACAATTATGATTTAATTAGGGCCGATCGCTCTAGAACAGGGGGACGCGTCTGTTTATATATAAGAAATTCCATTAATTATTTCGAACGAAAAGATCTGACTGGAGATAATCTTGAAGCAGTTTGTATTGAGGTTAACAAATCCTCTTCTGCATCGTTTATTGTTGGTGCCATTTATAGACCTCCAGGTGCTTCTGTCGACTCTTTTGCCAATACTGAGCAACTAATTAAACTTATAGATGATGAGAATAAGGAATTTTACATGCTTGGTGATTTAAATGCCAATATGCCTGACGTTTCAAATAATGCCACAAAAAACTTAAACTCAATCATTGAACTATATTAGTTAACACAAACAATAAGCTCGCCCACTCGCGTGACCATGATTTCATCTTCTCTGTTGGATGTTTGTCTCACCCCAACTCCAGATACGTTAGTCTTATCTAGAGTGGTGCAGATTGCTATCAGCGATCACTATATGATTATAGTTGTTCGTAAAACTAATATTCGTCCTAAACAAGACAACCGCCACATGAAAGTCGAAATTCGAAATTTTAAGTATTTTAATGCTGAAAATTTCCTAATGTATTTGAGTAATCAGGAATATGAATTGTTGGACAATAACTTCTGCGTTGACAGGATGTGGGAAACATGGAAAATTATTTTCTACGTCAGTTTTAGACAAGCATGCACCAATTAGAGAAAAGAGAGTAAAAAATATACCAAATATTCCTTGGCTGACTAATGCAATTAAAAAACAAATACGTGAACGGGATCGTCTCAAATTCCTTGCCGTTAAATATAATTCAGAAAATTACTGGACTGCATATAAAACCTCTAGAAACCATATAACTATTACACTGCGAGAAGCAAAACCAGCATATTATAAAGCACAATTTGAAAGTGTCAAATATGACCCTAAAAAGCTTGGAAAACCGTTAATAAAATCCTTAACCGGAAACAAGAATGTCGCGAAATAAATTGTATCCATACTCAGAATGGTCAAATTTCTTGTCCAAATGAATCAGCGGAGCGCTTTAATAATTACTTTACTGACATTGGTCCAAAAATTGCCACGACCATTGGTAACACTGACAGAAATTTCACGGATTACATAACAAAAACAACAAGTAGTTTCAAGTTTCAAACAGTGTCTGAAACCAAAGTATACAAACTTCTCTCCTCTTTAAATCCTTGTAAATCTACTGGAATTGATAAAATTCGCGCTAAAATTATTCGTATTGCTGCGCCAATAATTGCAAATTCCATTCCTTCAGAGTGGAAACTAGCGAGAGTTATCCCTCTACACAAAAATAGCCCTCGAAACATGCTGAATAACTATCGCCCAATTTCCATTCTGCCTACATAGTAAAGTTTTTGAAAAAGTTCTATATGGTCAACTATATGATTATTTCGTTGTTAATAATTTGTTGTCTCAAAATCAATTTAGTTTTAGGCAGTTCCATTCTACAGCTTCTGCCCTTTTGGACAGTACTAACAAATGGTTCATTAATATGGACCGTGGTCAATTCAACATTGCAGTATTTCTTGACTTTCAGAAAGCATTTGATACTATAAATCATAATATATTGATTAAGAAACTTGACCTTTATGGTCTACAAAAACCTGCCCTAAATCTTTTAGGATCATACTTAGAGAACAGATTTCAAATGTTAACTGTGAATGGCGTATTGTCTAAAAAAATCTAGTTACTTGTGGGATTCCCCAAGGTTCAATTCTATATAATAATAATAATAATAATAAAAGTCTTTATTTCTCTACTCAAATCAAACGTCTGAGTTTACATATTAAGAATAAAAAATTTGATTCTTACTGTTATTTACATCAATTTTTAGTACTTTAAAATTCTAAGGTATAAGAATATAGATATATAGTTTATATAAAATTGAAAAGACATCTATTTATAAACGCGTTTTTGAACCTCTCAGTTTTAACAATTGGTAGTTCAAAGTCATGACCTCTCCGTCGTAAAGGTCGATTTAACTTACTAGGTAAAAGATTGCGTAAGGCATTCTTATCATCATTTATAATTCTTGACCATAATTTCTTGTCTCTGTTCGATATTGTTGCTTTAAAATCTGATCTGTTGCTTGTATAACCATTTCTATAGGCACGATTGACAAACTTATCAATTTGACTTACGTATTTGTTGTACGATGCTCCACCCCAAACTTCGACTGCAAAGGTGAAAAGAGAGACTATAAGACTATTGAAGAGAAGATCCAATTGATGTGTAGAGAGCCCGTAGTGTTTACAAACCCTTAGAATATACATTCTTCTACTAGCTTTTTTCATCATCTCTTCAAAATGTTTATCCCATTTACCAGGTATGACTTCCATCGTGACACCCAATAATTTGAGCCATTCTTTCCGTTTTATGGATGGGATGTGATCCGGAAGGGGAGTTGACACTTTTCCGCGAACTATCATTTCATAGGTTTTCTCCATGTTTAAAGACATTCTATTCTCATTTGACCATAGCTTCATATTTTCTACTTCATCCCCAGCTGAATCTTCGTAATCATAAACTGGTGCTATTATTGCAATATCATCAGCAAATTTGGATAAATCAGTGGAGAGACTCACCGCCTTGATATCATTGACCATTATAGTAAACATTATAGGCCCAAGCACAGTACCCTGGGGTACGCCACGATTAATGTCTAGAAATTCAGTTGTGACACCATCAACTTTCACCCTCTGTCTGCGGTTGTTCAAAAAGTCGATCATCCAGTTTATGATATATGGATTAATGGGTATTTTCTTGATTTTATTAAACAATATATCGTGTGGCACACTCCTGTTTCTAATTAAAAAACGATCTGCCTACAAGTCTTGAACACTCGTCATCAAGAATGTTTGCCGACGATACAACGTTAACTGTATCTGGTAAATCTCTTCATGATGTAGAAGTTGCCATCAATCGCGATCTTTCAAACGTTAATCAGTGGCTCTGTGCAAATAAACTATCTTTAAATGTCGTTAAAACTGAGTACATACTAATTGGATCACGGTGACATACCAATTAAAAGGGTAAGAGAAACAAAGGCACTTGGAGTCTATATTGATGAATTTCTATCATGGGAAAAGAATATTGATAAAATTGCCAAAAAAGTCTCATCCGGAATTGAGGCAATCAGAAAGTTAAAATCATGTGTAGACCGTAATACATTAATTTGTGCCTATAATGCACTTGTTTTGCTTCACCTTGATTACAATAACCAACATGGCGACTAAACCACACGCCTCCAAGCGCGCTGCGCAAAATTCAAATAATGAGAACCTATGCACGCCAACAAAAGCAGTAAAATCAAAAATACCTAAACCTAACACACCCGTGATGCAACTAAACGAAAAAGAAGAAGAAACGAGGATCGAAATGAGAGAAATTTACGACATGTTTAAAACAGTTATGAAGAAATTGGAGAAACTAGACAACATTGAAGCAGATATGAAGGAATTCAGAAAATCACTCGACTACGCACATGAAGAAATAGCGGATCTGAAGAACGCGAACAAAACAATGAAGGCAGATCAAGCGAAAGCAGCGGAAAGAATTGTAAAGCTCGAACGAGACAACAACACGTTGCGCGACAAGGTAATAGACATACAGGCAAGATCGATGCGCGACAACTTGTTATTTTTCAATATGCCCGAAAGCGAGGGAGAAAACACAACAGAAATGATCCACCATTTATTGGAGTCAAAGATGGATTTTGAAGACGCACGAAATAAAGTGAAGATCGATCGATCCCATCGGATTGGGAAAAAGAGAGCAGGAAATAACAGACCGAGACCAATCGTGGTAAAATTCAATTACCACCAAGACAGGGAATTTGTGCGAATAAACGCAAAGAAGCTGAAAGGCACAAAAATCGGCATATCAGAGCAGTTTCCGGAAGAAATCGAGAGCATTCGAAAAACTCTCTCAAAAATGCGTCATTTCGTAAATAGAAATGGAATTATGCGTTGGTCTATCCACACCTTATTTACGGAAATTTAATTTGGGGTAAAAGGTGCTGATGTATGGAACTTACTAGAATCGAATATCAAAGATATAAACTCTTGCACTGCTTTCAAAAAACAAGTTAAACAACATTATTTATTGAATTAGAAATAGGATTCAAATTCAAAATAATTCAAAATTATGCATTCTACTTACATATTATATAGTGATAAAGACTAGCGTCAATATGCCTTTATATATGACTTATATTTGTACTGTAATTACTTTGCTTTATAGTTCTTTCCTTCCTTTTGTAAATAATACACTCTAAGATAATTGTTTTTCTGATTTTACTGTAAATATATTAATTAATAGATAACAATGAACTATAACTAGGGGCCTAAATTAAAAAGCCTGTTAAGGTTTCTAGTAGGTCCCTGGCCCAATATTATTAGAAAATACTTGTAAATATTAACTAAGCTGTACATAGGGGGGAAAATAAAAAAAAACTAAAACAAAAACTGTTGCGAAGTTTGGTACACCATTGGTACCACACTTTCTGATCGTCTCCAGAAATTACAAAAAAGGGCTGCTAGAGCTATCGTGGGTCGTAAAAATGAACAAGATCAATCTGAACTTTCTCTAAATGAATTAAACTGGAAGCCTCTGAGAGAACGCAGAACCCAGTTTGTGGCAAGTCTTATGTATAAAATTACTCATGATCTAGCGCCCTTACGACTTACTGATAATTTTCAAAAGACGTCTTCCTCCCAGCTTTATAATTTGCGGGGGCTCTTCCACTAAACTCCATTTGCCCAAGCCTAAGACTGAATATCTTAAAAAAGTCTTAGCTATAGAGGGGCTAAACTGTGGAATAGTCTCCCAAATGAATTAAGAGGAAAAGAATCACTAGCTATATTCAACAAAAACGTATGACACCTGGCTAGCTACTAATTTGAGTTTTCAAATCCATATTTACCATTAATAATAATAATAGTAATAATAGCTTTAATTTGAGCAAATCGTAGTCAAAGACTAAATTAAATTTACCCATTACAATGTTGCATTAGAAAGGTAAAAGGGGCAACAACTACAAACATCAAAACTAAGAATACTGTATAGTATATACTGAATTATTTACACTAAATTCTAAAAACTCATCATTTTAAAAATATGTAGGGCTATACATTCCCTATGTTCTTCCTAATCGTATTGTTCCATTTCACAGCAGATTTGACAATAAAATTGTTTCAAGATCTATTAGTTTTATATGTTGGCAACTGGAATTGTATTCTAGAGGCCTGGGACCTGGTATTATAATGAGTTTGGTAAGTAGGTGGTAAAAGGTCATGTAGTTTATGGTTTTCCTTCATGATGTTGGAGAAAAACAGGTCACATAGGTCTTCCAATCTCACACATAGCCGAGGGATGCCAGCAAGATCTAAGGCTTCTTGGTAACTAGTATCAGGGAAAATTATTCGCATGATCCTGCGTTGGATGGATTCAATTTGTTCTCTAAGGTATTCAGTAGTACTGTAAAACCATGCAGGGCAAGCATACTCCAATACTGTTCTTACGCACGTTGAGTAGAAAGTGACCAAGTCCGCATCTGCAACGCCCGCCCTTTTCAGAAGTCTCACAGAGTAAATAC